AACCCCTCCCTCCCAAAACAATGAAAAAAACCAAACCTTTCATCTTATCCTGATTTGAAAAGAAAACAGTGGCTGTGAGCAGCAAAGAGCTGGGGATTTGAAGAAGGTAATGTGTGTTAAGGCACTCCATAGCCAAACCACCGCTCACCGGGGGAATACCCCCCACCCCCAGCGCACCCTTAGGGTTTCTCAATGGACGGGGTGTTAAAACAGCCAGATGGCAAGGTCTTCTTGATGTCTTCCAGGTTGCTAATGTCCTTCAGGATCTCTTCAATGTCCCTGTTGTAGGCCTGTATCGCGTCATCTTGCTTCCTGGCTTCTCTCTCGAGGAAAGACACTTTCTGGTCTAGGTCATTCTCTTTCATCTGGTCTTTGGCACTGTTCAGGCTACCCTCAATCTCATTCAGTTTGTTCAAGTCCACCGTCTCCAGTTGCCCTGAAAAGCCAGAAGCAAACAGTGAACAAAGAAAACAGCTTTTTTTTTTTTTCTGTCAGCAGCAGGAAAACACTCAAAGGTGTAAGGCACATTAAGGACAGCCTTACCTAATTGATCCAGCAGGTTGTTAATCATGGCAAGCAAGTTGGTCACAGAGTTCTTTGCTTTTCTGGCATTGTCTTCTGCTTCTTGGGCAGCCTGTGAGGCCTGCAGGGTATAAAAAACATGAAAGCACAACAAGGCTGTAGGGATTGCGAAACTGTTGCCTCTCCTCTTCACGTCTGCCCAAGCACAGTCAGTCACACACATCCCTGACACCTCTCTCCAGGATAACACCCCTGCACCGAGATCTTCATCACAGGGCTGGCAAAGACTGACAATCTTCAAATAGTCACTTTTGTGATTATTTCAGGATGGGGATCCCTGATAACCAAGCAGGATTTTGCAGGAAAAGTCAGAACAGAGTCAGTAGGGCTACAGCCAGGTTTCAGTTAAAATAAAAGGGAAGTGCTGCATTAAGAAAATTGGCTCTCAAATTCCAGCAGGGAACCTATGCTAATGCCACCAGAGGAGCTCCTTTGCTAGGCTCATGTCTTCAATCCCACTTAAAACTTGGAAGAGACTGAACACTGGCTGGACTCAGTGCTGTCTTTGCAGGAGGACAGCAGAGGAAAAAAAGCTTGCACAGCCAGGACAGCAGGGAGAAGGCACCTTCTTGCCAGCGTTACTTACCATGCCTGCCATCATCATATCCTGCTCAGCATCATCCTGCTTCCGCTTCAGCTCTTTTTCTGCATCCTGCAGTTGCTTCATCATGTCATCCACTTCTCTGGCCAGCCCCGTCACATCAGCAAAAGTCTTGTCAGCCTCAGCTTTGGTAGCAGCTGCACTCTACAGCCAACAAGGGGAACAGGATGGGAAGAGGTGGTGAAGGTGCAGAACTTCCTTCAGCCTTTTTCATCTAAATGCACCGATTTCCTATCACGCCACATTTTCATTCCCTGGTGGGGGCTACAGTAGAAAGCACGTGGGGCTCACCAGGAAATACTGGAACAGGGGAGTTTCACAGAATCACAGAATCTTCTAGGTTGGAAGGGACCTTAAAGATCATCTTGTCCAACCGTCAACCTAACTGACAAAAATAGACACCCACACAACAAACAAGGAGCATCATCACTAAACCATACCTCCCAGCACTACATCAACCCGTCTTTTGAACACCTCCAGGGATGGTGCCTCAACCACCTCCCTGGGCAGCCCATTCCAATGGCTGAGAACCCTTTCAGTGAAAAAATTTTTCTTAATATCCAGCCTGAACCTCCCCTGGCGCAACTTGAGGCCATTTCCTCTTGTCCTGTCGCCTGTGACTTGAGAGAAGAGACCGACCCCCACCTCTCTACACCCTCCTTTCAGGGAGTTGTAGAGAGCAATAAGGTCTCCCCTCAGCCTCCTCTTCTCCAGGCTGAATAACCCCAGCTCCCTCAGCCTCTCCTCATAAGACTTACTCTCCAGACCCCTCACCATCTTTGTCGCCCTTCTCTGGCCCCGCTCCAGCACCTCAATGTCTTTTTTATGGTAGGGGGCCCAAAACTGGACACAGTACTCAAGGTGAGGCCTCACCAGTAAGTTTTATGAGTTTATGCAGTTACAGACCACTATCTTAGAAGGGTGGCTTCAGAATTGCAAAGGACTCACCTTCTGAACAGCACCGGCGATTTTCTCAGCATCATCTGCTTTAGTCTTGGCTTCCCGGGCATCAGCAGCAGCATTGCCAAGTGCCAGCTCCGCCTGGCGCGTCTTATTGTTGGCTTCAGCAATAGTCTGGGTAATGGCAGGAATCTTTTTCAGTGCCTCCTCCGCCGCCGTCTTGTTATCATTCACCCGCTTATCAAAATCTAAGAAAGGGCAAAACAGATTCTTGTCACTTGCTCCAGAAGGGCCTTGGGATGTTTTTTTGACCGAGCTACCCAGGCTTTGCCACCTTGACGTTCTGGAGCGTGAGGGGTATATGCCTGCAGCTCTCCCTGCTACACGTCTTCTGAAATTAAATAAAGAACTTAAACAAAAAGAGATTTCTAGTCGCTGAAAACATTCCTATTTTTTTCTTTATTAAAAGAAAAAGGCAGAAGAACCAACCCAGCACTCAAGTATTGGCAATAGCGTGGCCCGTTTAAACAAGATACCCTACTGCCAAGTGACTTGTCACACAGGAATTGAAGGACTCGGAAAGGGAAACGGTTTTAAATTGGAAGAAAAACGATTCAGATTAGATATCAGGAAGAAATTTTTTACTATGAGGGTGGTGAGACACTGGAACAGGTTGCCCAGAGAAGCTGTGGATGCCCCATCCCTGGAGGTGTTCAAGGCCAGCCTGGATGGGGCTTTGAGCAACCTGGTCTGGTGGGAGGTGTCCCTGCCCATGGCAGGGGGGTTGGAACTCAATGATCTTTGAGGTCCCTTCCAACCCAAACCATTCTATGATTCTCTGACTCGCTGCAAGTGCTTCCTCTTTACCTTTCAGGTTGCTGAGAATGGTATTAGCCTCCTGTAGTGTGCCATTGCCCTTCCGAGCAGCTTCTTCAGCCAGGGCTTTCGCTGCATCTGCTCGAGCCAACAGCTGGTCTGCAGTCTAAGGAGACATGACACGTATCAACAACTTCTTACCTTTTGAAGGATGACCATCTAGGTGTATCAAAAAGCATTGCTCAGCCCGAGACACCAACGCCACACAGAATAGCATTCATCCCCGAGTGGCAGTGCTTCCTCTGAAAACAGCTGAATTTAAGTACTTTTGGAATACTGTTCTGAATACAAAGGAGACACCACACCTGGCAAACATCCCCTGTTCTCCCATATAGCCTCAATGTCATTGCTTCTACCAGCTTTTTGCATATCCTTTCTGGGACCATTCTTCAGCATTCTTGTAAATAGCAAACAGTGTTAAGATAACACTAAGACCAAATCTTTCACATTTGGCCAATTACCTGATTTCCTTTATTTTTCCAGGGAACAAAAACCTGCACAAAACAGGACTGACCTGCTGCTCCGTTTTCCCTTTCTCCAGGAGGTTCTTCACTTCTAGCTCCTTTCCTTTCATGTCTTCTCTCAAGTCCTCATAATCTTTCAGCTTCCTGGCAATTAGTTGATCTAACTCTTCCGCTTCCTTCTTGATCTTATTTGCTTCATTCTGCAGGTGGAAATCAGAAATAAATGCAGATTTCTGAACATTAAAGAATTTCTGAACAGGTGGCAAAACATGGTATAGTTTCTAACGGCCAAACAGTCAGAAGCTATGATGGGTTCCCACCAACTACAGTTGTAACCTTACCTCCAAAGCTCTGAATACCAGAGGGTGAGTGCAATAAAGGACAGAGGTTGCAAACAGTTCCATGTGCAAGAAAATCTACTGCACTACAGCGAGTGCAGGAGAGGGAGCAGTTCTGCAGACTGCAGAGGGAACTGAAATTTCTGCACTTCTCTGTTCAAGCCGAGACGTTTGGCAAACAACATTTCACTGTTTGGGTTTGTTTTGGTTTTTTTTTTGTCCTACAGCCATTGGGGGAGGTAGGGGTTTACATATTTAGTTTCCTGCATAAAAACTGAAATGCACACGTCTGAATTATGCCTAAAATGGAAAAAAATTTAGTTTCCTGCATAAAAACTGAAATGCACAAGTCTGGATTATGCCTAAAATGGAAAAAAAAATCCATAGACTGTTCTTATGCAGAGAAACATTAGCAGAGCACGTGCAAGATATGTCACCAACCTGGCACACTGCTAAAACACTTGCCCTCATTGGCCTATAGAAAACCACGGGTGATGCTTCCTGCACGTACCTCTAGCCCCGTGGAATCCACAGTAGGCAGACTGGTGAGATTAGCATAGATCTGCAG